AAATCCCTTGCTCGAATTACCTCTGATGTTTTCTTCCCTTAGCAATAACTAATCCACCAACGTACTGATAACCCATAACTGCAAAGGCACATAACCACGTGACCCAAGATGGTACACTTGTCTTCCACATCCCAAATTGTCTGCCACAATCGCACACTTGACCTCCTGATAGCCGTACCATTTTCTTCAAGCGATCCATGCTCACATCGCAGTACATGCCTACTATTGGATAGAAGGCAGAACTCTTTATAGGAACTTCAACAGAATTCATGCAACCCCTAACCTTCTCACATGATATAGCCCACCTGTCTAACCTCACACATCCTCCAACGGCATAGCCATAACCACATCCATTATGAAATCAATTAATTTTTCCAAGTCCACGCTCATCCGCCAATTGTAAGAGTCTGTTCATCCCATTAGCATCAACTGAAGGTCCAACAATACATTTGAAACTCGAAGCCACATAACATCCTAAAATGACAGTCAAGTATTCCTATCCTTCTTCATTCCAAGCGAACCCCTTTCCATCATATACAAACTTCCTAAGTATAGAAGCCACCATTTCTAACGAAATACATAGATTTAGTCTTCCTCCTACCATGACCTAAATCGTACGAAGTTTTCTCAAAGCAAGTGGCTACCCTGCCACAAAATCCATATGATACGCTCTCACTCCCACTTTGATTTAGCCTCCTACCGAAGCAAACCACCTGATCTCTGCTGCTCATACTTAACTTGCTAACAATTCAACCACCGCAATATATTCAGTAATGCCCATATTCCACCACCAATAATGCCGCCCCACATCACGATCCTTCTCCGTAGCACCCGAACAAATAGAATTCCATCAACTCTAAGCCTTCTCAAGGATCATCTCTCTCAAACTATCAATATAGGAAACATCGATTCAACTCCGAAATTGCAACACACCGTCATCTCTGATAACCTCTTTTTAGATACCATTTCACTGCACCTTGCCCCAAAGGAAAATAAATAAAGACAATGATACCGACGAGCCTTAATGCATTCTAACGAGAATTCTGCTAAGTCCTGAAATATCAAATCTCACTACTCCGTCAACCAAAGCCTGAATATCCATAGTCCAATCGCCTCTCCACCACTGGAATTAAATACCAAATCTCTAAACCATGAATCGAATAATCCTTCTCTCGAGTCATTTACTGCAGTGACACATAGTTAAACACCTACCATTTACACTAGCACTGTGCGATAATAACACATGAACATCGCAATGCACTGTGCATAGCCTCGAAACCGTAAGAAAAACTAACACTAGGCTGGAACGACATAACACTCCTCCATAAGGTGATGATAATAGTCTGCCCGCATACACAGGGAAAAATATCCTGCACCATATCTCTAGCATCTTCATAATTCATCAATTCCTAATTGATAATAAGCGCTCAACATCACATTCGAATGAGTAGGAAGGAGCTAAAGACATAAGCTTCAATGAAATCGAATCGAACGACGAGGTATCAAGAAAAAGAAATTCTCGTAACAACCCTGTAGCCTCTCGAAGATAAGTATAGACTTCTCTGAACCAATCTACAAGACTCTACTAGACTTGCTAATGGCTTGTGAGACCTAAGTGAACATAGTGCTCTGATACCAAGCTGTCACGACCCAATTCCTATTATAAGTCATGATGGCGCCCAACGTCGTCGTTAGGCAACCCTACAGTGAACTATCAACTTAATTATTCATTTTTTCTTTGAAATCATGAGTTTTATTAAATAAAGAAAAATCAATACGGAGAAAACCATGGCGATACAAAAATAATATTTAAACATGAAAAGGAAATGGTGACAATATTAAGTGCATGAGCATATACTAGGAAGTAGAATACTAATAGAATATCTGTCGGGAATGTAAAAATAAACAGGATAACATAAATGAACATGATAAAGACTCTGTATGCTGTGGATCGTAACATGGAATGTAGCTCACCATAAAGTCCCCTAAATAGCTGCGCTCATGCGCCCCAATGACCACCAAAGATACCCGCACAATTAATGCAGAAGTGTAGCATGAGTACGTAAATCAACGCATACACAGTAAGTATCTAGCCTAACCCAGAGAAGTAGTGACGAGGGGTCGACATATACATTGACTAGTGGTTCAATAAACCAGTAAAATAAATTATAAATAGATATGAAGCACAACAGTAGTAAAGAGGTAAGAACGATAACTATCATAATCCTCAAACATAATGTCCATGTGAATTTCTCAATTATCATAAGCTATCTCAACAGATAAGAATTATCAAGTGCTATCTCAAACAGATAAGGAATATCATGTAAATTCCATGTCTCGATCAAAAGGGAAATCTCATGAATATTCGGACTCCTAGCGATATTACACATGAGTTATACTGAGGTCGTACGACCCGATCCATAAAGTCGTGTACATACATTGCCGAGGTCGTACATCCCGATCTATGGATGCATCTCATATATATATTGCTATTTCATAGCACTGCCGAGGCGTTCGACCCGATCCCCAGGAAGAAAAGAAACTTATTGAATTACAGGCCACATATTGGCAACACAAGGACATGAACATAAAGTAAGCATCACTTCTACCAACAATCAAATCTTTCGCCAAACAACTCAAGGTAATGAGGTTTGACCTAACATGATCTCTAATCAAATTTAAATTATAAGTATTAGATAATCAAACTAACAAGTTGAGTTCAAGTAATACAAATATTGCATGATAACGTCCTAAGTCTACTCGGGTATCTACATGATTTTAGTTACGTACGAACTCTCATCACCTCGTACATTTGTAGCACCCATAACTAGTAGCACACAGCAAATTTAATACCTACAGGGTAGTTATCCCCACACAAGGTTAGACAGGAGACTTACCTCGCTCGAAAATCCAATAATCTACTCCAATGCCTCTCTAATACTTCAAACCGATGTTAATTGATCCGAAACTAGTCAAACAATGTGCAAACCAATCATGATATACTCTAATACTCGTAATTTAACAATTTCCAACTTCGCTCGAAAAGTCAACAAAGTCAACCTCCGAGCCCACATGCCTGGATTTTGAAAATATTTGAAGATAAATATTAGTCATAATACCACGAACTCAAATATATAATTTATTCCTAATTCCATGTCAAATTTCGTGGTAAAAATTCAAAAATACTATTTTAGAGTTTCTTTCAAAATTTTACAATTTCTACCAATTTTTATATATTACTCGTGTATTTATCTCACAATGTGTACAAATCACAATGTGTAGAAATCACGTACCTTGTGACGAATGATGAAAAAGCCACTTCAAAATCGCCCCAAAACCGGCTCCAATGGAAGAAATAATAAGAAATGAGCCAAATCCCGATTTTGCAAACTTATACACTGCCCAGGCGACCCTTCATCGCGAACGCAACATGTCCCTCGCATTCGCGAAGCACATCCAGCTCCTTCTCCAAGATCCTTTTTCGTGAGCACAAGAGAGCGCTTGTGAACGCGATGCCTTACCAGGCCTAACCATCGCGAACACGGCCTCTCCTTCGGGAACGCGAAGGCCTTTCCTCAGACCCAGCCTTAACTACGCGAACGTGATGCCTTTGCCGCGAATGCGATGAACCTGTGCCCCAAACCTTCGCGAACGTGAGACTTTCCTCGCGAACACGTAGCACAAACTCCTAGCATCTATAATTCTTCTTCGCGAATGCTTGAATTCCTACACGTTCGCGAAGAACAACACCAGAAACCAGTACCAACAAAACATAGAGAAATGATCTGAAACCATCCCGAAATGCACCCTGGGACCCCATCCAATCACACCAACAAGTCTCAATACCTCAATCAAAATCACAAATTGATGATCAAAACCTCCTCTTAACTTTCAAATCATTCAAACTTCGTCGTCCGAACCATACTTAAACATTCCGAAATGACGGCAAATTTTACGTACAAGCCACAAATCACAATACGAACCTATTCCAAGGCTCACAATCCCAAACGGATATTAATAACACCAAAGTTCACTTCAAATCAAACTTAGAAAATTTCAAAACTTTCAAAATGACAACTTTCCACAATAAGCACCGAAACACTCCTGGTTCATCCGAAACTCGATCCGAATATACGCCCAAGTCCAAAATCATCATATGAAACTATTGGAACCTTCAAATCCCGATTTCGGGGTCGTTTACTCAAAAGTCAAACCTATTTCAACTCTTCCAACTTAAAACTTTTGAATTGAGAATTATTCTTCCAAATCAACTCCGAACTCCTCGAATATTCGAAACCAACCACACGTGCAAGTCATAATGCATAAGGTAAAGCTACTCAATGCATCAAACCTCCAAACGACGCGCTAGAGCTTAAAATGACCGGTCTGGTCATTACACTCTCCTTGTTCAAGAATTGGTTGAAACTTTTTGTTCAATTCAAAAGTTTCAATCTTTGTCGTAAGATCTGATATATTACTGCTAATATTTACAAGTTTGAAGGTGTTATTCTCTAATAATTTCTCCCGTTTTATTCTAAGTGTCATTTTCCTATCCTTAAAGTTTGCACTTTTTGCTTCTTTTTTTTGTTGGGTTTATTACCTGAATTTTGATGGCCTTTTCTTTGGAAAGTAGCATTTCAGAACTGGGGTATGAAATATTTGGAGGAGTGAAGTTAACTATTATGTGGTAATTTTTTATGACTTCGAAATCGTATGATAACCCTCAAAATTTAATTTGCAATTGATGAATCAAGCAGTGTCAAAATTATATACTTCCAAATTGTATGTTGCTGGTGCATTTAATGTATTTTGTTGTCTTGATACTTGATATTTTGTTGTATACTATAGGAGTTTGGAGATCTGGTTTGAGCGAGCTCCTTTTAATTTTCATTGTTCAGCTTTCAGATTAGACCTTTAATAGTCAATATTATATTAATTAATAGAAGAACTAAAGCAAAAAATATGATACATTTGTTTGATCTTTTTCCTCTTGGTTGCAGTGGTGTAAACAAAAAACGAACTACAATGTGAAATCTTGACTATACTACTCCCATATAATAGATGAGAACTTGCAGATGAAGAGAATGTATGAGAGAACATGCAGATGAAGAGAATTTGCAGATGAAGAACTAGTCAATCCCTTACTACTTGAATTGCAGATGAAGAATTTAAGTGAACTTTGTATATTTTTTATATTTAATCATAGTACTTAGTTTTGTGAACTTTATATATTATTAACAATTAATCATAGAAAAATTTAAAGTCACAAGTTTTGATACTGTTAAACTTGCTATAAATTATACCTTATCAAGTGGCAGCAAATTCATATTATTTCAGTAATGTTCATGTGTTGTGCGGAGAGGGATTTTCCGACAACAAAAAAACTTTTCTCCCAAACCGAGGTGATAGACCACCTTATGGCCGTGAATCGGTCCCTAAGGAACCCCGAAAAAGTGGCAGCAAATTCATATAGAGCTTGAGGCTAATGTGAATGGATAATATAGTTATTCATTTTATCTGCCAATTAATCCGTTTTTATCCGTATTAAATATGAGTCGTATCAGATAATTTAATTATTTTTGCATTACTCATTTTTGACCTGCCCATATCCGACCCGACCCGCCCGTTTGCCACCCCTATACATGATCTATTTGTATCATTACTCTTTTGGCTCCTTTTTTTTTTTTTTACTATGCTTGTATTGTGAAAAAAATCAATTAACTATTCTTAATAAATAAAAGGAGTTCTTTGGTTGCATGGCGTTGTTATGCTATTGTTAAAGGTTTAAGCCGAAAAGCCTCCTACTCTATCCTATTTATACAAACCTATCACAGTCTTTCATTTTCTTTCACTAAACTAGCCAGTAATGATTCTAAGGCCCCAAGGAGAATAAATAAACAGAATAATTTATTACTTTACCGTTCTTAGGAGAGAACCTCCTGTATTTTTCCCGGACATTGAACAGTTGCAGTTTATTTACCTTGGTGGAGCTTGAGAAACCAAGTTCCTTTACAGGAATTTTCACTTTTGTGTCAGCTTCTGATCTGTGCAGATACTTTCTTCCTTAAGGCACCATTTTGAAGTCAAAAAGAAATACTCATATGCTTTACCCCTAGGGCTTTGGTTAAGTGTAATGGCTCATCAAGTGATGTGTGAATTAGGCACATATCTTGCCATTGACTAAAACCTTATTAAGGTGGAGAATAATAGAGGGGCGTATCTATTATCCACCGAGTCTTGAACCGTGCGCCGAACGGCCGCTTGACATTTTTTGGTTTTCAAAAAACAAGTTAGTTTTTTGGAAGTAAATTATACTGAAAAAGGTTTTGACCATTCTTGTTCTTCGTATTTGTTGAAGGAGTCCTCACCACTTCTTCAAGGCTGGTACGAGAGAGAAGATAGAAACTATACTGAAAAAGGTTTTCTTGTATCTGGTCATTTGACTAGAAAAGTTAAAATGCAAAGAGGATAGTCCTTAAAATTTTATTCCTTATCCTGCAAACTTAATTTGCAAGGAAGTACACTCTTGGATAAAAGTTTTTTAATGAGGAGTAAGCAATTTTAATATGTTGTTCCTGACTGTGCTTCCAAACTTCTATTTTTTAATATTTTTGTGAGATAATCTAATCATCCATGGTTCTCTGTCATTTGTAATCACCATCCTATCCCAGTCACTTCTTGATTATACCACCTTGTTGATTTTAATTATGTCAGCAAGGTTAAACAACATTTATAAACTGAATGGATTTTGTTGTATTGGACATTATTCTGCCTTCCTCGTTGGAGGCTTTTCTTTTTTATCTCATCCATATTACCAAGATACTATTGACATCCTTTCAACGTCCTTCTTTTTCCACCCTTCTAAAGTATGCTAGTAGCTGGCAGTCCCAATTGGTGTCTATAATTGTTTTCTGGGCAAGTCTAGTTGATTTCTATAATTGTGAGTCAATTTGTTTAAAGCTATGCTCTAATTCACAGTCAGGGCCACTCTGATTGTTGTCGACTTGCATCCTCACCAATATTTTCATATATACATAAGTTAGAATGATAAGTTAAGCTATTTTGTATTTTGATGATTTGCCAAACAGTCTCGAGGAACCAGATAAGAACCGGTTGTGATCAGTTCCTTTGGCCTTGATATGATATGTTACTTTATGTTTTGATGCTGGTCAAACGTTCTTGAGGAACCAGATAGGGATCGGATGTGATCAGTTCCCCTGGTCGTCGTACAGTCAGCTCTACAGTTGTAAAAGCTATTGCAATGCACCGTCTGGCAGCAGTACAACAACAACTTGCTAGAGGCCAAATTAAAAGATGAAATATCCCTATCTCTTCTCACATTCTCTCTTATATATATAGAACATGATACAAGGTTTGACCTAACGCTTGCATTCCCAAAATCATATTCTTTCAAGTGCTAGCTGCCACAACGTTCAAGGCTCTCTCAAGAACAAAGCTTCTACAAGCTCAAGGACCAGATCCCGATATTAAAGATATCTTAAGTCTTTAGGTTTGTTGTGTCTTTGTTATTTTGTTCCACTTGTAATCCTACACTACTTTTAAGAAGTATCTTTGTAGGACAGATTCCGACCATTGTTTGTTTTGATTTCTTGACTAAAGTTAGTCAAGGTTTGTTACTTTGTAATAGAGTTATTGTAAAGGGCCTACAATAGAGTTATTGTAAGGGGTGAGAGATTAAGAGTTTAATTTCTAAACTGCAATAGGTTGTAATATGAAGTTTGCTCGGTTTAGTGGAGTTGAAATCCTATAAGGGTAGGTCATGATTTTTAATCCTTTGAGCAAGGAGTTTTTCACGTAAATATCGTGTGTCTTTTACTTTTCGCTTATTTACTGTGGGGATAGATAGAGGACATGGTTCCCTATACTGTTCTGTTTTACTTTCAGCTTATTTACCGTGAGAACAGATAGAGAACTCGGTTCCCTGTACTGTTTGGTGGACTCCTAGTTTCTATCAATTAGTATTAGAGCAGGTTCTTTTTAAAAGGTTAACACCAGAAATGATCTTCATCATGGCTACTCCACCAAACCTCAAGGAAGGACAATCTACCATAAGACCTCCAAGATTGAATGGAAAGTACTATGGATGGTGGAAAACTAGAATGCATGACTTCATTATGGCTGAAGACTCCAAGCTTTGGGACGTGATTTGTGATGGTTCCTTTGTCCCTATGAAGGCTGTTGGAGAGGGAACACGGACTTTTCCAAAGACAATAAAAGAATACAATGATGCTGACCGAAAAGATGTTGAGAAAAACTTAAAGGCAAAGAAGATTCTTGTGTTTAGTATTGGACCAGACGAGTATAATCGTGTCTCGGCATGTGAATCTGCTAAGAAAATCTTGGAAGCTCTTCAAACGGCTCACGAGGGAACTACTCAGGTAAAGAAGTCCAAAATAGACATGCTTACTACTGAGTATAAGATCTTTAAGATGAAGTAGGATGCGTCCATTCAAGAGATACATACTCGTTTCACCTCCATAATCAATGAAATTTATTTACTTGGTGAAATAATTCCAACCAACAAGCTGGTCCGGAAGGTACGCAGTGTTCTACCAGTTCCTGGGAGAGTAAGGTTAATGTTATCACTGAAGCCAAAGACATACAGAAGCTGACTATTGGCGAGCTTATTGGAAATTTCAAAACCTATGAGATGAAGAGAAAGAAAGATCATGAAAGAAGAGATCCCAAGAAGGAGAAGAAATTGGTTCTCAAGGCTTCCAACAATGACTTAAGTAGTGATGAATTTTACATGGTGTATCTCACTCGAAGATTCCAAAAGATGATTCAATGAAATGGTGGGATTCCAAGAAAGGAATTTCAAAGGAAATAATTGCTTTCATAAGTGTGGAAAGTCCAGATACTTCATCAAAGACTGTCATCTTCATAAGCAGGATCATTACAAAACTAACACTGATAAGGCGGCTAAGAGGAACCTGGTCATGATAAGAAGTTCAAAAGAAGAGATGATGATGACAACATGGTGAAGCAAGCTATGGTTGCTTGGGGAGAATACTTCAGTGAATCTGAAGGTGAGGATGACCAAGGAGATACATCTATGATTGTTATTGACAATGATTCTTCAGAATATGAGTCAATCTTTATACTCATGGCTAAGTATGATGATGATGAGGACAAGGAGGAAGATGACGTAAGTTTTCTTGATGTGTAAAAAAAAAATTAAAAACTCACTCAAAGAAAAAATTGATGTCCTTAGCAAATGTATTGATTTATGCCTATCATAGTCTCATTAATGAGAAAAATGCTCTAATTGAAGAAATTGGTGACATGGAACAAGAGAGGGATGATATGGTAGTTTTCATTGTAGACTTGAAGGAATGGGTGGAAGAATTAACTAGAGAAATACGTTATTAAAAACCAAATAAAAAATGGATGGACACCCCTAAAGAAAAAGAAGTAGCTAGTGAGGCTCAACTTGAGATTGAGAGTGAGCTTAAAAAAGTTAAAACAAGTATTGCTGCTTGAGTTTGAAAAGAATAGACAACTTCAGGAGGATCTGAAAAGGGTTAAAAATAATTTTGATAAGTCACTTTAATGGACCTGGTCCTCTGATGTAATAACGTCTATGTACAAGATTAATGGTGAAAACAGGCAAGGAATCGGGTTTCAAAAGGCTAAAACCTCCTATAATCCCCATAGCAAGTATGTAACTGTGGTTGACAATTGGTTGCGTACTCACTATGGTCAAACTGGTCATTACAATGACTATTGTAAAGCTAAAATTCAATTTCTACAGAAAAATAAAGTTTTTGTTGAAAAGAAGCCTATTGTTGAGGAACCTCGTTCTTTGAGAAGAAAATATGTGTTTCCTGCATGAGCAAAAAGAAGTTTGATCCGCCCATTCTATCATGGGTTCCTAAGTCTAATAAATAATTTTGTCTACAGGTTGGAGTGAGAGGAAGCAGTCAAAAATGGTATATGGATAGTGGCTGCTCGAAGCATATGACTGGAAGAATGGATGATTTTCTCTCACTCAAGGCCTTCCAAGGTGGGAGTGGGTCCTTTGAAAATGGCAAGAAGGGCAATATTCTTGGTGTTGGCAAAATTGGAAAAATATTCTCCCATGCAATTGAAAATGTATAATATGTGAATGTCTTGAAATATAGTCTATTGAGTATGTCTCAAATCCGTGACAAGGGAAATGAAGTGAAGTTCTTGTCCAAATCTTGCATTGTCACTAATCTCAAAATTGGTGAAGTGGTGTTGATAGCCAAAGGTTCAAGAACATCTATGTTGCAGACTT